AGGTATTAGTTAATTAATTGTAAATATGATTAACATTAATCGCTAGCTAACATAAAGTTATTTGATAATTTAGATTAAATCACATTATGAATTAATTAAAAAAATCTCCAGCTGTTATGGTATAACTCAAGATCCAATTACGAGGGATTACATGATAGTTATAGCTGATAGGAATTTAAAGAACTATTTGAAGCTGACAAAACAATTTAAAAAATACGGGATATGTAAAGGATGCAATCAAATAAATACCGAAGAATTATGGTGCTCATCTTGTAATTTAGAAAGATTTCAACAAAATTTTAAAAATTGGACTAGTAATAATCATGATATTGATAAATTTATCCAAAATAATCAATTATCAGCAAATAATATATTTGAAGTGTTGGAATGGATATCCTATGATAGATTTTATGATATTGAAATTACAGATTGTAGATTTGGTGTAGTATATAGAGCGAAATGGAAGGATGGATTTATATCTAATTGGAAGATGCATCAAGATCAATGGGATAGATATAATCAAAATAAATTTGTATTTCTTGAAAAATTGAGTAATTCAACAAACATTACATATCATAAGGTATAAGATTAATTCATTATTAGCGAAAATATTTTTTAAAAAAACACTTATTAACATATTTATTTCGATGAGTTAGGTAAAGTTACATTTTCAAGTAATTGAGGATAATGGTATTAAATGTTATGGAATAACACAAAATCCAGATACAAAAAATTATATGATCATTATAGAATATACTGAACCAGAGCATAAAAGTTTACAACAACTCAAAAAATATGGAAGGTGTAAAAAATGCTATCAAATTTATACGGGAATTAATTGGTGTCAAATTTGCAGTTCAAAAAGTTTTCGCCGAAATTTTAATAATTGGACTAGTGGTAATGGTGATATTGATACATTTATTCAGAATACTCAATTGTTAGCAAATAATATATTTGAAGTATTAGAATGGATAACTTATGATAGATTTTATGAAGTTGAGTATATTACCAGAGATGGATTTGGTAAATTATATAGAGCAAGATGGAAAGATGGATTTATATTTAGTTCGAATAAAAATCTTAAAAGATATGGACAAAATGGATTTGTAATTCTTGAAAGTTTGAATAATTCGCAAAATATTACATATAATAAGGTAATGATTAATTTATATTGTTAATGAAAATTTTAGTATGTAATATTTGTTAATATTTTTTTACATTTTTAATTTAGATTAGTTTACTTTATGAATTAATTGAAAAAAAATTAGAAAATATTAGATGTTATGGTATCACACAAGATCCAAATACAAAAAATTATATGATGGTAATGGATTACAAAAATTTGCATAGTTATTTAAGGTTAGCGGAACAATTTGAACGATATGGAATATGCGAAGGATGTAATCAAATCAATACGGGAGAACTATGGTGCTGGACCTGCAATTCAAAGAAGTTTCAACAGGATTTTATCAATTGGACAAGTGGGAATAATGATATTGATCAATTTATTCAAAATACTCAAATATTAGCAAATAATATATTTGAAGTATTAGAATGGATACCTTATGATGGATTTCGTAACGTTGAAATTTTTGCTGAAGGAACTTTTGGCGCAATATATAAAGCGCAATGGATTGACGGACATATATTTAGTTTAAATACAAATATTAACCAATGGATTAGATATGATCAAAATGGACTTGTATTCCTTACAATAATGAAAACTACACAAAATATTAAATTGGACATATTGGAATTTATTAATGAGGTAAAGGATTATTTATTACTTGATGAGAAAGAATCCTTCAAATATGATTGCTTATTAATGTATATTATTATAATTTAGATTGATTCATATTGTAAATTAGTTAACAAAAATTTATCAACATCAGTCAGATATTATTATGGCATAACACAAGATCCAATCACGTATGATTATATGATAGTTATGAAGGATATGGATTTACCAAATCTTTTGGAATTGAAAGAGCAAATTAATAAATATAAAGGGTGTGTAAAGTGCAGAAGTACAAAAGACGATTGTTGTAGTTCAAAAAGATTTAAACAAAACTTCAAAAATTGGACAAGTGGCAATAATGATATTGATAAATTTATTCAAAATATTCAGTTGTCAGCCGATAATGAATTCGAGGTATTAGAATGGATACCTTATGATAGATTCTACGATGTTGAATATATTGCAAAAGGTGGATTTGGAAAAGTAAATAGGGCAAGATGGAAAGATGGATTCATAATTAATTTGGATATTAGACAACATCATTGGAATAGATATGGCCAAAATGAATTTGTAGTTCTTAAAAGTTTATATGATTCACAGAATGTTACATTGGAATTTATTAATGAGGTAATGAAATCAATTTAAAATTCTAAAAGCATTTGCATGATTATTTTGCTAACATTGTTTATTAAATAAATTAGATTGCTTCACATTATAAAATGTCCGAAAAAACATTAACATTCATTGTCAGATGTTATGGTATAACTCAAGACCCGGTTACAAAAAATTACATGATGGTTATGGAATATGCCGAACATGGAAGTTTACGAAATTATCTAAATGCAAACAAAGATTTGAATTTAATAAATAAGATTCTTAATTTACGTAACATTGCAAAAGGGCTTGAGAAAATCCATGAAAAAGAACAAATTCATCGAGATTTACACACCGGAAATATAGTAAGATTTAGCTTTAAATCTTGTATAACTGATATGGGATTGTGTAGACCAGCAAATTATAAGGAAATCCTAAATGCAAAGAATCATATATATGGCATTTTACCGTTTATAGCTCCTGAAAATTTGCGCAATCATGTTTACACTAAAGCATCTGATATTTATAGTTTTGGTATAATAATGTATGAAGTAATTTCAGGCTTACCCCCATACAATGACATAGAAAGTGAACATGAAGGATCTTTAGCAATTAAAATTTGTAATGGAGTGAGACCCAGATTTAATATTAAAGTACCCCAATTAATTTTATATTTAATTAAAAGATGCCTAGATGCAGAACCATCAAACCGACCAACAGCAATGGAAATTAGAGAAATTTTTGATAAATGGTATTACGATATTTATGATTATGAGACAGAACTGTCTAAACAAATCAAAGAAGCAGAAAGTATAAATAAAAGTACATCGGCTAGTATTATTCCAACAACAAGTGAAACACGTTCTGATTCTAAATATTATAGTAGATTACTTATTTTTGATAATCTTCCGGAACCAAAAAATTCAGATGATTATTATAAACGGTATGATGATATATCAAGTATGGAATGTTCAGGTATTTATTATTTGATGTTGAAAAATTATTGATCATGTAAATATAATTTAACAATTTATTTTAAATAATAATAGAAACTTTACAAATTATTATTCCAAATTAAATAGTCAAGGAACGCCAAAAAGTGATGTCGATCATTTCTTTAATTTTTGACTTCGTCATTTTTGTAATATAGGATTCTATTTCATAACTAGAAGTATTCAATATTTTTAGTTGACAATTCAACAAATTTGAATAAAAATTTTTGAATTCAGATATTTGAAACAAATTTAATTTAGTTAGTAAATTTATTTTTTAAATCTTATTTGATATAATATTTAACATAATTAATTAATAACAAAATTTTGTTTTTATATATATACAGTATATAACTTGAGTTTAAATTAAAGCAAAATATAATCAATTAATAAAATAAATATAAAAAAAAAAAATTACAATAAATATATTTTATTTAAAATATAACCTTTTCAAATTTATTAATTATATATATTAAATAGTTATAATAATTAAATAAATTATTAAATAATTTTTTAAACAATCTAAATATTCCCAATTAATTAATGTAATTAAAACAGGTCGCAAGTGAATACATTCAGAAATGATCGACGACAATTCGGCAATATTTTAAGCGGTGAAAATTAAAAAAGGTTAATTATTTTTCGCTTGATTTGGTCGTTTCTCACAATTTATAAATGCGAAAAGGATAGCTCCTCTTAGTTGAAATAAACTGTTTGATATGGTTTTTTATTATGAATAGTCTCGTTCGAATTGGATATTTTATTGTACGTAAGGAAATAATAGGATGCGATCGATGCATACTTAACAATATGTTCATACATGAAAAATAACCCGTACATGCTAATCAGAAATTGTTCATTTATGGCATGGCATGCGTACTAGGAAAATCAGTAATATATTTCTTTATCGAATAAAAGAATGAATTCAGATATTTCGCTTAAAATCGAGGCGCAGCAGAAACAGATCCATTTTTTTGTAATATCACTTTCATTTCAGTTTATCATCTAAAAATCAGTTAACCGGATCTCATTGATTAATAACGGCACCGTTATGTATGTATATAATAACTTTTACTCATATTTTCATATTTTGCGAAAATAAAATATAAAATTTTCAAATTTTAATGTCGATCCAAAAATTATGATTATTGAATCAACCACCTTCGTTATGATGATGGAATTTATATTTTATTTTGCTTAGCCAAAAAAAAAAAAAATTTTAATATAGTTAAATCTTTTTCTGATGAGAAAATTTTTTTTTTTTTTTTTGAAACAATAATATGAACTTCCATAATACTTAAAAAACCATAATTTCGACCGAAACAAGCATCGTACGAATTGTCAAATATGAATTATTGAACTTTATTGGCGGTATCTTACATTATGGCACATAAACCTTAACCTTATAAGGAACTTAAGAACCTGCGGTCGGTTTTATAATAGTTCTCTGAAACAGAGCAAAAAATTATTGAGAATTTACAAAAAAAGGTTCTGCAATAACATTGTGTAACGTGGTTTTGTGCAATAACTGCACATCGTCTGCGTTTGAGATGCAATTACTGCGGTAACATTTTCGAGTTTCGGGTATTATATAAAACGTGTGCATAAATGGAAATTTTGAATAATTACTTCTTTTACTGTTATTTTTCTTCAAATTTTAAACGAAGCATTTAAACATGTTTGAGAATTATTCAAAATATATTATTATTCTATGGATAATAATTCAATTATTAAAGGTTATAAATTGCCAAAAGACGTTCAAGCCATTAAAACGATATGGTCATACTGCCACAATCATTGGGGATAAATTGTATATACTGGGTGGTCAAAATGATGAGATAGCTAATAGTGGAGTTGGAAGTGAATTCTTTTACCTTGATATTTCCGTACCATTTAATGTTCAAGATATATTATGGCATGATTTAACAATCGGTAATATAGTCCCTACACATTTTGCCGCCGCATCCGGTAAAGGTGGTGCAAATAATAATAGTTTGATTTTATATGGAGGAATTCAATCTAAAAATGTAGAAATGGCTTTGGTTTATATGTATGATACTCAAAAGAACACATGGAACGTCCCGATCACAACCGGTAACAATGTTACTAGAAAAGCTAGCCTAAAAGGCGTCGTCAATTTTAGTGCGAAAATGTTCTTATTCGGTGGACGCAGTGATAAACTTCTTTTAAATGATATGCTCATCTTGGATACAATAAATTATAATTTGGCAACAGGAAGCATAACTGATGGACCTTCTCCAAGAAGTTCTTATGGTGGAACTTTATTGACAAATCATTTTATTATTTATTTTGGTAAGAAGATAATAATATATGCATAATCTGTTATCTATAAAATTATCCTTTTACCTTGCTTATACTAATTTATCGGATCGGTTAGGCGGCACTTTTACCACATCTGGTGTTGATGGGGTGTCCTTATCATTAAAGGAGGTGAGTCCTGTGACCAAACTTGACTTTAACCGATTCTCGAAATGATGATTGACATATGATTTTGATTGATTTAGATCTACCTATATGACATAGTTCATGATGATTGGATTTCAAAGGTAAATAAATTGACGATATTTTATATAATAAACAAACAGTTTTTTAATAGAATAAATTAAAACAGGTTACTACGGGTACAATACCTTCAGATAGAGAATCCTTTTCTGTGGTATTAGGTAAGACATTTATTATTAAAAATTTTTTTTTTTTTTTTATCAAAATATCTTTGAAAACTTATTTAATTGAGTAAACATTTTACTAGGATTGGATGGACAGCAGTTAATAATTTTTGGGGGGATTAGTAATTTTAATGATCTGAAACCACAAGACGCAATTTATATGTTAGATTTAGTAAATTTTGAATGGAAAGTTCCAAAGGTTTCTGGAAATATTCCAAGTTCCAGGTATTGGCATCAAGCGAATGTGATTGGAAAATATATGGTCGTAACATTTGGTAAATTTCACCTTCTTTTATCATTTTGAAATTTTACGCATAAATTATAAAAATTTTTAATCCTAAATCAACATTTTAAACTTTATAGGATTTGGTTATGATATTACAGTTGATAATGATGTTTTACTGCTAGACATTAGTAATAAGGATGAATTAATATGGACAAATATTTATGATCCCACAGCTTTATTATTTTCAAATTCATCATCAACCGTACCAACAATAACAGTAGGAGGTACAGCTTTTATACCATTATCAATGCCGGTTGTAATCGGGATAGCTATAGGAACATCGTTAAGTATTATCCTTTTATCACTTGGAGGATTTTTCATATATAAATGGAATCGAGGTAAAAAGGAAGTCAATAGAGCGGTACCAACCCCCGGAAACGGAGATAATATTAAGAAGAACGACAACAACAACAACGACAATGACAACAACAAAAACAACGACAATAACAACGACAACAACAACAACAAAAACAACAATAGTAACATCAATAACAACATCAATAACAATATTAACAACAACAACAACAACAATAATAATAATAATTTTAATAGTGTTTTGGATATGACTCCTCAAAGCAGTAATCTTAGTAATTATGGACAAGGTATGGTCGCTTACCCTCAAATCCCTGTCAATAATATGTATTACCAAGAACAACAAATTCAAATACCCGACACCGCTTACTTTTATGGACAGCAAATGATTCCAATGCATGACGAGATAATAGCAACTTCAAGTGGTGATAACCAAATGTCTTCAGCGCAAAATATTGATAATGTTTTAGAAAATTTTAAACATGATATAATTCAGGTAGTTAGACAAGAAATCAAGCATAATAGAAAGTAGTAAATAGTTTTATTTTATTTTTTAAATTTAGTTCGTCTTTTATTAGGATAATTTTTAAAATTTTACTTTACTAAGAAATAATGTGAAATTCCAGTTTATATTCTTTAACTTATTTAGGGTTGTGACATTTTTGCATCAAAACAAAATAACAGAAATGTAACATATTATAAACACGTCATTTCATCTATAAATTTGTGTTTTCCCGTCAGTTTAGTTTAATAATAATGATTAAATTGTGTGACGTAACATAAATTCCAAAAAAGGAAAATATGCTTCTTGAGAAAAACTGGATTATGTTATGCAAATAGGTTATACGAGTTTCTTTTTGGAAATTTGTGTAACGTCACATGATTTATTCGCAAAGCAAACGGCCAGCATTAATATTTATTTATTTTTTTTTGTTTTAAAAAAAAAAAAATTCGCTTTGTATATATATGTACTACAAGAATTATTCTATGAAAACTTGGTATTTTGATGTCAAAATAGGAGAATTAAAATGCGGAAGTTAAAAAACTCGTGATCAAAGTTTGTTATCGATTTACAAAATACAATGTTATCATTTTTGATTTTTTAATATAAAATCATACTACACGAAAATTGTTTAGTTTTAATTCGTTAGTCGTTTATTTTTTTTAAAAAAAAAAATTTTTTATCGACAAAATTAAAAGGATTCGACAGATATGATCGTTGTTAACCATTTTTAGTCAGACATTAATTTCCTTTTATAGAATTCAAAAATAGAGCTAAGCCCATTATTTAAATACGGAATACCTTTATTTAACTAGTCGTAAATAATTTAATTTAAAAAATTACTCCATCAATTCAATTTAAAAGGATGTGTATAACCAAAACCTGTTCAAATTAATCTTAATAAATGAATTATATATATGAGAAATGTTAAAATGGAAAAGAAAGGTTCTCTTCCTTTACTTTATCTATTCACTATGGTAGATATAAATAATATCAGCAATTAATACATTATTAATAATTCGTAAAATTCCGCATTTTCCTGCAAGATTCTTTGAATTTGTTTCAGATAATGGAATTTGAATGCTCACATAACCTAATTTCAATTGTGATGAAACTAATGTAACGTCTCACATAGCGCCAACGCATGTCATGCATGACGCTTCACGAGTGTTACATACGTCTCCGGCTCTGCCATTGAATGTGTAGAATTAGAAACGTGTTAAGATTTGAAAGAAAAATAATCATCCCAGTCATATATTTTAGTATCAAAAGAGAGCCAAAGTTGCTAACTGAGATTCGAATCAGTTAATATTCAATCCCCAATCTTGATGCGATGCGATCACTTTAATTGGTTGCCGATTTCAAATATTGGGCATCATGGTTTTTAATTCTCAAGTTTTGTTGACGAAATCAAATTCTAAATCTTTATTGCGGCAAACAGTTTTAAAACGATAGCTCCGTAATTTTTAAAAAATTACTCGATTAAATTGAAATTCTTTGTTCATGTGATAAATTTAGCATTATTATAAAAAAGGTTTTATTTGTTAAATGATATTACTCGTGTCACTTAGAAAATTCATTAAATCAAATTACCCTTGATAATAAACCCTATTGTATTATATCTTATTACCTTTTCATTATTTCTTGATCTAATATTTCATTTTCAACCCAAAAGTGGAACAAGCGACTGATTATACTTGTGTATGTGATTTAGTAATAGGTCTGTCGTTGAAAAATTCTGAAATAATTGAATTAATGTTTTCGCTTTAAAAATTTACTATATCAATCGTAAATAATATGATGGTGATGCTTTTATTCCAAGACATTCAAATATTCGCGTTCAATAAAACACGATAATTTTGTATCATCACGTGATAACGTGTACGTAAAATCAAAAAAGTTAACTTTAGCATATTTCTGATATTTGATTTATAAAATTAGAAAACCGAACCATGAGTTCCCGTTTATGTGATGACATTCAACTCACTTTTAACTATTTGTTTCGTAAAAAAATATTTTTTTTTGTAAAGCATATTGATACAGCAAGCTTACGGTATGACAAATGCAAATCTTGAATTACGAATTCTTTATTTTTATTTTTTATATTTTATTTTTATTTTTATTTTTTTTTTAAATTCTTATTTAATCAACTTTGTTATAATAAAGTAACTCGTCAATACTCTCGTATTATGGTTTTGATTCAATTATTAAATTAAAATAAATTGCCAAGACAACGAAATATCTTACTTCTACACTTATTGATGGTAAATATATATCGTAGGTGGTCGAGATGAAGAGTCAACTGTTAAAATTGGCAATGAAATTTTTATCTTGATGTCTCAGTTCTATTTGATACTCAAAATATATCATGGCATGATTTAACAATCTTCCAGAAAATCTCTGCGGCATCCGTTTTTTGGTGACGCAAAGAATAATATGGAGGAATTCCTTATTATAAAGTAGTAATGTCTTAGTTTATGCATTCGATACTCAAGTAATATATGGACTTCAAAAATAACTAGTGATAATTTTAATGATACTCAAGTAATATATGGACTTCAAAAATAACTAGTGATAATTTTAATAGAAGATAGACTAAAAGGCATCGTTGATTATAATGGCAAAATGTATTTGTACGGCGGACTATCTAAAAAGTTTTCTGTACACTTGGAAAGTAGGAACTTCAATCAACGCGCCTTCACCAAGATGCGTTTATGATGCAACTTTATTATCAAATGATATCAAATAATCTCAGATCAACAATAAATTTATTTATTCTTTTAGGGGGTTTTAATGTTGATTTTTTTATCCTTAAACTAGTTAGTATCTGCTGCGCTGCAGCAGGTTAAAAAATAGAAGCATTGGTAATTGAATTATATAGTAGAACTTTTGGGATTTTTTTTTATTTATTAAGTTATAATATAAAATTTTTTTTTAATGATTAAGAGATAAAATATATAATTATATATTTAAATAAATTATAATGTATATTTAGAATATAAAAGAAATTCTTTAATATGATATGTATAATTTATTTTATTTGCTATTTAGGATTTAAGTACTTTATTATATACAATATTTCTTGTTTAATAGATTTTATCATTATCTATAAAAGCTCTAATATTTTAATATAAGGTTATAATTGATCATATAAAAAAATAGGTTTAAAAAGATAAATATCAACTTGATTTAAAGTTATTGATCTTTATTATGATAAAACTTTAATTACATTTATCATTTCTTATTATTTAAACTAACCATTTTTAAATTATAAATATATATTCAAAATCATTATATTTTGAATAATAGTATAAAAAATAACATTATAAATTTCATATTTTGTATTTTATTAAGAAGAAAGGCTTAATAGAAAAAACTTGTTATAGTCTTAAAAATAAACAAAATAAATTCAATAAATAATAAATTCTAAATTGTAATAAAATAGACATTTGGTTAACTAAAGAATAGATTCTAATTATTAAAAGAATTATGGACTAAAAATACTAAAATAGTAACTAATTTAATAGAAATTTCATTAGTTTTATATAATTTAGTAGAAATGCAGATGAATAGGAATCTTTAAATTAAATAATAATGGATATTATGCAATATAATAATAATAATTTATGAAGATCTCAATTATTATAATCATTTTAGTTAAATAAATATTTATTTTTTAACCATTATGTCTTTTACCTAATATTTTATGGTCAAAATACTTTCTTTATAAAATTTCATAAGTTTTTATTTAATGAAAAAGACAGTCTGTTAATAAAATTTAAATAGCATTTGATCTTAAATTTATTATAAATAATAATAAAATCTAAAATAAATAATATAACTATTTGTAATAATAATAAAAAAATAGATTAAAAAATTTACGATTTTAAATTACTATAGTATTTTAATCTTTAATATTTTATTCTAAATTAATTCTTTTTATAAAATAATTTAAAATCTCTTCAAATTCAAAACATTTTTAAGAGAAATTATATTTTGCTAACATATGATAGCCTTAAATAATATTTATTAATAAATTAGAAAAAAATTAAATATTAATTGAAACATTTATTTCTGATAATCACTGACCCAGAAATTTTATCTGTTACTACTAATATATGACTATTGAAAAGGCCTTAGATAAATTTGTTGCTATTCTAAAATGATAAATAGATTATTTTTTAATGAAAATAAAATATAAACTTACAAGGTTATACAATTTAAAACTTTTTTATACAGGTAATCTAAATATTACTAATTGATATAGATTTTTTATAATATAGATGAGATGAATTAAAATTAAAAATTAATTTAAAAATTCTAAAAAAGTTAGTATTTTTTGATAAATTCTAGGTCTATTTATATGATATGATCAATGATAGCTAGTATATGAAAATAAGTTCATTGTTTATTTCATAAAAATTTTTTCACTAGCTAAATGATTTTTAACTAATTAATAATAATTAAATTAGATAACTTTAGGTTTAATTTCCTATATAGAGATTCTTTTACTATTATGCTTGGTAAGTATTTTATAAAAAAAAATGTTTTTAAAATAATTGAATTACTATTAACTAATGCATAATTATATTTACTATACAAGGATTGGATAGGTAGCATAATTTTTGAGGAGTTTAAATGTAACTTTTCAAGAACTCTATATATTAGATTTAATAAATTACAAATAGTATATTCCTAAATTATTGAAAAATTTTTAAATAAAAGATATTGGTATCAAGTAAATATTATTGAAAAAAATATGATCATTTCTTTTGGTAAATATACAAGTTATTATATATTATGTATTTTATTAATAAATAAGCAATTAATAAACTTAAAATTTTAACCAATTAGAAAAAGATTATAATTAAATATTTGTGATTACTTAATATTAATCATAATAAAAAATATTTTTGAACTAAAAATTTTTAACTAATAACTAATTCTTCTTTAAAGAATCCAATTAGCAATTTTTTTGAAAAATATATTACCATTATCAGCAAAGATATAGAATCATTGGTTAATAGTAT